GATTGATAAGAATATTAATTGACTGTGGTGCGCATTATCTCATGAAGTGTAGGGATCGCTGGTGAATTGTTTGCCAGTCAAAAAACAAACAAACAAAACAAACGTTTTCAGAAATTCATTTCATGGAAGATCGCTGATGATAAAATGAAAGGAAATTGATCTTTAATATCCATCCAATTCATTCATCGAAGCCTTATCAACTTCTATAATGGCAAACCACACGTTGCTTTCTCATTCTGTCCTTGTGATATGGAGAATGATGAGAAAATGTAACATTTCGATTAACACTGTGTTGTTACTGGCCAGTTAGTATTTGTGATATGTATTTGCGCGTATAATGACAGATGCAGAAAATGACTTCACTTTATTTTAATCTCTAATATGACCGCCTTTATAACCACTGCGCATTGTCGATAAAAGATTACTAAATTTCTGTGGCAAAATCAATATATTGTACGTTAAAGATGAAGCGGGACAGAAGATTCTACGGCATGGAATTAATGGCTCAAGAAAATGAACTGAACTGAACAGCACGACCTACTGAGAGGGCAACGGGCCCAGAAGAACCACGTGAGGTTTTGCGTCATCCCGTCGATGCTCGAGGCTTAATTGAGAAATCAGCACCTGAATTTAATGAGACCATTTCAATTAAGTTTCCGGTTCAAATTCTGATTCTGTAATTTTTCAAAATTCGCTATTCGCTTGCAAGAGATTGAATCGAACACATTAGTGAATCATGGTCTGAACACGTCATTCGTTGAACCTTTCTACTGCATGCACCTTCAACCGTTCATCTACACATTCCCGCTCATCGTCTCTCCACTTCGCTTCCCTTACCTTCATTCTGCTCACCACATACTTCATTCAACTGCATACAGAAATGCATATTGATTGACACTCACCATTTACTATGCAGTTGGTTCATCATGCAGCATAGCACAGAACTCAGAGGTCTTTGTTCTGAGTTCGCTGGGAGGAGGCACTCTCCTTTCTTGCTCTTGAAGAGGAGTGGTACAACGCTCGTTCCTCACTGTACTGATGTCTTCAACGTAGACATTGCGGTTTGAAAAACATGAGCTACCAAAAAGGCACCTTGTTCGCCTATAGCTTTAACCACACCAATGTTAATTTCATTGGTTCCAGAATCTAAGCTGCTGCTCAAGCTTTTTGCAATTTCTATGACTTCATTT